AGTATTCCGTTGATAATGAGCAAAAATGGTGCGAAATTTCATGTTCCTAGCTGCATAAATGGAGGAGTTATGATAAAAGACCTCATATCTGAACAATCAGTTGTATGGGGGCTACAGGTTATAGTGACCCGATCTTTGTTATTTTCACTGTAAGTCTTCTGTTGATAATGAGTGAAAACAGCGCGAAATTTCATGGTCCTAGCTACATAAATGGATGAATTATAACGAAAAACCTCATATCTAATCAATCAGTTGTATGGGAGCTATAGGTTATAGTTACCCGATCTTTTTAATTTTCACTGTAAGTTTTCTGTTAATAATTATTGAAAACAGTGCGGAATTTCATGTTCCTAGCTATATAAATGGAGGAGTTATAACGAAAAATTTTATATCTGAACAATCAGTTGTATGGGAGCTATAGGTTATAGTGACCCGATCTTTGTAATTTTCACTGTAAGTATTCTGTTGATAATGGGTGCAAATACTGCAAAGTCTCATGGTCGTAGCTGCATAAATGAAGAAGTTATAACGAAAAATCTCATATCTGAACAATCAGTTGTATGGGAGCTATATGTTATAGTGGTCCGATTCTTCCGGTTCCGACAAATGATTAATACATTATAAAAATACACCCACCTACCAAATTTGATCCGGATATCTCGAAAACTGAGAGACTAGATTGCATACAAACAGACGGACAGACGGACAGACGGACAGACGGACAGACGGACATGGATAAATCAACTCAGCTCGACGTTCTGATCATATAAGTATACATTTTAATGGGTCTATCTCTTTTTGTTCTGGTACTTACAAACATCGGACCAAAGTTATAATACCATTTCATGCTCATGAAAGGTATAAAAATTGGTGCTTACACATTTGCTAGTGCTAGACTGAGCTCCTCCTCGGATTTGTGGTGTGCGCCTTGATGTTGTTATACATGATTCAATAATGGAAGGTTTTGTAAGTAAATAAGACTCGGTCTCGCTCAAGTCTTACTCCTAAAAACAAAAACAGTGATATTTATTTTCCAGTTTTCTTTGCAAGTTTTAGAAACATTTCTTCATTCTCTGTCAATAACAATGATCCAGTTGGGTGTTGAGACGAAATGGGGGAGTTCCGTTGGTCTACAGAAACTCAATATAAGCAAAACTAAAAAACAAAATTCCCTTAAATGTCGAATAGTTGTATTTGTCAACATTCGGTTTAGTCTATGGTTCAGTCGTACTCAAAATCGCGCGATGTAATTGGACATTCACGGTACTTCTCACTTGACGGTGAGGGTCCCGTTCCTGTCGCAATCGTTCAGTAACTGCGTGTCCTTTTCATTCTTCCTGAGTTCGACCAACACGAATCGCCAATCGCAACTGTGTCAGCTAGTCTTTGATATTGTGACGGTGGTATAATCTCCCCCGAACACTAAAAGTGCAACATCAAAGAATTTGAATTACCATATTCGAAGCAATCGAGTCATAACCGAAAAAGAAACGTAAGCGCCAAATGTTTTTATGTGTTTTTTTTTTTTAATTAAAATTGTATTACTTTTCCACAATCAAATAACTTCTTCCTCCATTCTCGAGTTATACGAGGTCTGACGTACGCAAGTTTGGAATATGGGTGTTTCCATCGGAAGGTCTACCGCGACAAAAAAGAAGTAAAAGTCATATATCTAACCTATTTATGGGCCAATTTGTCTGCTTAAATATATACTGGCTAATAAAACTTGGGCAAAAGCTTTTAGTTTACATATGTTTGTCAATTGTCATTGTAATTCATGCTTATTGTTTTTATTTATTGTTCACTAAAACACAGACTCCCTGAGGAAGACGCAAAAGCGTCGAAACGCTTAGGAGGGAAAAACGAAAATTGACTTTCGCTTATATTCTTCATCGGCCGAAGTATTATTATTATTATTTATTTATTAAATTACAATTAAAATTATAAATTAATACATATTATAGCAATAGCTACCAAGGCTATCGGCTAGTCATTATGTGAAAATATAACTATAATAAATGTGCAATATTTACATTTTTTAAGAAGTTAAAAATAGCTTTTACATTAGCTTCTGTGGAGCATGAGAGTATGTCTAAAGGATCATTATCAGCGAAGAAATGGGCACGTACGGAAGTTAAAGCAGGGCAACTTGATATGATATGGTGAATGGTTAGGTCGGATTCGTTGCAGAATGTACAAGTCGGCTGGTAGGAGTAGAGTTGCCAGACGTACTGCTTTTGGGAGTAAACGTACTCCTTTTTATTGCAATGTACTCCAAAAAAAAATCTGGAAACGTAACCCTTTTTTAGTTATGTGCTTCTTTTGTAATCCTTTTTGCAGCTATTCACTTTTTTTATCATATACAGGGTGTAAAATAATAACTGTCGCACAGGTTATTTTGAAAAATAAAAGGGTCCTTTATAGATTTTGTAGTGACATAAACCCAATTTTTTACTTGGGGTTATGAAATTATATAAGGAGTGACATATTTCCCAGCGAAAAGACGACAAAATTCCGAATCCCTCATGTAATTTTGCAAACCAAAAGACTGTGGAATGTGCAAGAGTAATGATAAAATTTTTATCAAAACACTGGATACATGATGGCTTTGCCTACATTATTTTCTTGTCAGCGCTTATAGCCCTTCGGCCGCGCTTAGGGATTATAACACTTACTAGGTAGAACTCTCCTTTCTGTGTTGCCTGAAAAAAACGGCGGAAGTATTTTTGCGCAGAAATTCTTCCTGCGTAAGCGGCTTTCGGGTGCGGTTTGAAATTATACCCCTTACTAAGTAGAATTATACTTTCCGTGTTGCCGGAAAAGAGTGGCGGAAGTATTTTTGCGCAGAAGAAAGTTTAATAGAAAATTTCTTTTTCGTTTCTTCAGAGTGTTCTATATGCTTTTTTTGTTTTTCTTGAGAGCTGGAAAATGTGCTTGATGATCAAAAGTAACATTATTCCAATTGACACCTTATAAGAAGTGACATAACTCCAAGAAAAAAATTGGCTTTCTGTCACTGTATAAGGAGTGACACAAGGTGTATTTGCCTGAAAGAGACATGTACTTATCTCCCAAAGCTGGCAAATGAAACAAGGATTAAAATATTAAAACTAATTAATAAAACTAAAGTAAAACATTTACAAAGTTAACAATAAACACTTTTTTCCCAAAATCTATAAAGCACCCTTTTATTAAAAAAAAAACCGACCGACATTTATTATTTTACGCGTTGTACTTTGCCATTCATATTGTGGCGAACACTACATAGTAAGCAAAGTTAAGTGTGATAGTAAGATGGTGTAGGCATGGTCGTAGCTAGGTAAGTGTAGTGCGTTTGGGTATAAAAATCAAAAATATTAAATTTATATAAGGCTTAAATTAAAAAAATGCCACAGTCTGGAATTCTTTTGCGGAATTTATTTATTAATTTTTAACATTTATTGTTGCGTTGAAAAAGATATCTAAGGTATCTTTGTTTGTTTGTACCTAACTAATTAAAACGATCTCAAATATGTGATTATACACATGTATATTTACGTTTTGGTAATTTGTAACAATAAATTGCACAAAAGATAAAAAAAAATTGTACCTACTCCTTTTTATGTTTGTACTGCTTTTTTTTCTATCGAAAATAGAAATGTACTCCTTTCTCCGTTTCAGAATCTGGCAACCCTAGGGAGGAGTTTAATATTTTTATTATATATACATAAATGTATGTAGGTATGAAATTTGTGAGCAAAACCAAAAAAAATCATTGCACTTGTTTACTTTTGAACCCTAAATTCACGACTTTAAATCTAAGTACAAAGGAAATGGGAACCAACTTTTACAAATGCTTTGAAATTTATTCATATTTTGACCTCTTTTAATGAATGCAATTGAATGAAATAACACAAACGGCGATAACGCAAAAGTTGCTTTATTTTACTTTGAAATGGGAAATGATACCAAAATCTGAGTTTTGCATTATTTCCAATAGAGGTTGGAAATAAAACAAATTTTGCCTTAACAAAAACAGTTTACTGACAGAAGGAAAAAGAATTTTGATTATTCCAAAAATACAATTAAACAAAGGTACATTGAACAGGTAGGTATCAGTCAAGGCATAATAAGGTAGAAGTGATTTCGACATTTCTCTCTTTAGAACTGCGACTGAAATGTCAACCGTTAACCCTATACTATTCGAAATTTAAATTTTTTTAAATGAAATTTTCAATTGTGAGCTGTGCGGCTCACACATACATAACAAAATAAAAAGGAATTACTTGCGTCGCGTTGTGTTTGCCAAGAGCCAAGGCAACAAACATATGCGTTATTTTAAACCTCCGAATTGTCAAGTAAAGCGACAACGGTGGGAAAATTGCTGCGATGTTTCATTAGGAGTACGGTTGCCAGACGTACTGATTTTTGAACTCTTGTACTGATTTTATTCTTTTCTTCAATCAGTACGCTAATGTCCTGATTTTTAAAAATTTGTATTTCAATTCAAACAAAAAACTTTAGGATTTTCTTAAGGCTTTAACATAACATTGTAACTTCCTTAAACTGTACTGTTAAAAGTAAGAAGAAATTAATACAAAGAAATATATCAATCCTTTTATGGGCATATCGCCGGGTCGTTACGTACCAGTTGCGATAATAGGTTTGTTCCACAAGTTACTGGAAGTAACTTCGAGTTACACATACGCGCTCCACAAGTAAGTTTTAGCGTTTCTTTGATATACACTCACAGTT